TATCCTTAGCTCAGTGTCACTGCCTGGGAGCATTATCCTTAGAGTCAGCTGTTTGGAAAAGAATAAAATAGAAGGGGAGGAAGAAGTCAGGACTTGCAGGATTGTTTCATAACTTACTGGGTTTAAGTTTTCTGTCATTATTTAATGAAATATGGGGGGAAAAGGGGGAAAAAAAGGGGGAAAAAGTTTATATAGTGATTGTTAAGATTGAGGTGATCTGGTACTACAGTACTGTTGTGCTGTGTGAGTTAGGTAATGTTGAAAAATATCATGTCAGGGTCAGTTGAGGAGACTGAGAATGCTTTATAGACCCTTTTACTGTGTAGGTGGGTTTCAACCAAGGCCGAAATGAGTGATGTGTCCAATGTGAGGTTCTTGGCCTTCTAAAGCAGGCGTGGTCCAGTACCTAGTAAGATCTTAGCTCAGAAGGAGACGCAACTATTGGACTGGATAGACTTATCCAGACTGTATGGCATGTCTTGCTGTTGGAAGTTACTCCTCTCAATTAGAGCCAATGTCCGTTTCAGTGCTTGCCATTTCTCATGAGAATCATTCTGTAGCTGCACCGTTACTCTGTGACATGATTTATTATCTTTTCTGTGTCTAGGAATCATGCTGTTCATGTGAAATTACTCAGTGGTGTACGGTTTAATTTTTCAGAGGTTTAGGTACCCTAAAGAAGTCTAGTTACCCTTTCATTTGCTGAGGGAAAACTAAGAAGCTCATGTTAACGAGCTGCAGCAACTAGTAGATTTCCAGTGTAATTTGAAAAAGTTGATAGCTGTTTTCTAAATACATAAAAGATACTTTTTGCCTGAGTAGTGTTTAGCAGATGTAGCCAGATTGTTTTGAGCTTATCTGCTGTTTGGTTTTTTTCTTTGTGTAAGTTCCTGATGTTTTACCACAGAGTTCTTCATCTGCTTAGAACTTTGTGCTTTGCAATCACTTTAAACTTCTCCCAAAGCCCTCAAGATTTCTATTAGGCTTTGGCTTTGTTTAGGCCTCATAAAAGGTTATTTTTTCACTTACCTACGTATTTTCAGCCATCTCCAGTTTTACTGTGTTACTGGAAGCAATGCAATAATCTAATGAGATGATCTACTTGAGCAGCTGGCTTTAACCTCTGTGATATTTCTTGTTTAGTACATTTATAATTGCTGTAGATTTTTTTAATTTTTTTTTTTTTTTTTTTACACTTTTCTGTTCACCCCATATCTTCGGTTTTTTCCTTCCTTTGGGTCAGAGCTAGGAAGGAGGCATCAGAACTGAACTGCTGTATCATCGATTCCCTGTGTTGAATGTGAATTTTTCTCATTTTCTGACATCTCTCTTTTGTGACTGTGAGAGTGTGCATGAGATTGAAGCCAAAGAGGAATAAACTCTCATTTCCCCCTTGAGAAGAGAAGTCTCTTTGGTATCATTGGTTCAAGGTCACTTGTAGTTCTGGTTCTCTAGGGTTTGTGTTCCTTTTCTCTGGCACTCCTGGGATACTTGGTACCTTGGAGATTTTAAAGGTATCCAAGAAGTTCATTTCAGTTCATCTCTTAATGGAACGAGGCAGTTGCCTACATGCTCCAGATCATGGGGCTTGGGCTTTTTGTTAACTGGAAGAAACAAGCAGAAATCCACAGGAGGCCAGTTTGTGTCAGAAACTTTGTTACATCCACACTGTGACTGAGTCTTGTGGATCACCAGTTGTTTTGCCAGTGATAACATAGGGTGGCTGAGAATGGCTCTGCAATCTACAGAGATCCTGCAAGATTCACTGGTATTTGTAGCTTATACAACACTTCAAGTTCTTCAGAAGTGATTTGAGGGATGCTGAAGATGAAGCAACATTATAAGCATACGTCACTATAAGCAATAGCTCCTCAGGAAAAAAAGTGAATGTAATAGGCTATTGCATTTGTTACTGTATTTCTTTTGATGTCTAAGGGTGGTTATACTATGATCTGTAGTACGGAGTCAAGCAATTAAGGATTTTTCTCCTGTTTTTTTGATAAGTATTGAAAGGCTTGAGACTGTTGATGGAACTGAATGCTCTCTTCAGACTGCTTGAGCAAACCTTGGGCACCAAATTAATGTTCTGAACAAAAATTGACTTCTATTGTAATTCAAAGCAAAAGAAATAAAAGATTTTTTGCCAGTATTTGAGCATATGATCATCCTGAAGACAAACAATCACCTAGATCTGTTGGAGCCATTTTTTTCTTTGTGTTTGCCAGCAGTTCAAAAGGGGAGAGAATGGAGGAGGGAATTGGAATTAAAAAGAAAAAGTGACGTTAACAACTGTCTGACAGATGTTTAAAACTTCTCACTGTGGGCTAAATGAGGCCTCTTTCTGTATCCTTTATCCCACCCATAGTTTTTCAGTTGCTCATGGATGCAGAGTATCATGGAGTAGTGTTACAAGTAGAACAGCTGTATCTGAGTAGGAGGTAGTCTTGGCTGTATCTTTCCTGTATGTGTATCAGACACACTAGCAAGGAATATTTGCTGCATGTAGCAAGAATTCTTCATAGTGCGTTATCTTACACATCTTAGTGCACTGTGTGAGTAGGTATTAGGTGGTGAAAACTGTTCCATATAGCTGGAATACACTGTGCATGTGGCCAAGTCTGACAGAGGAGGAGATGGTCTATGCCCTTGAGCTGCAGTCAGGTGAGCCCGTTTATGTGAAACAATACAAATTTTTTTTTTAAGTTCCCCCCCCCCTTTTTTTTTTGACATAGCACTACCGTTAGAGTTGATGGTGTGTGAGTAGGACTAAATAATCAGTTTCATGAATAGTAACACTGGTGAATAACAGCGGGGCAACATTAATCCTTTTTGTTCTCGATTGTTAAATCACTAAGAAGGTGGTTCAAGATTTCCAAAGACTCCCATTTGCCCACAAATACACACAGAGGCCAGTTGTGCACTTCTACTGTACGTGCATTGTTTCACGACCATGCGTGCTGTGCCTCTAATAGCACACTGGTGGTGACAGCTGAAGCTCCAAGTATGCAACTGCAGATTACTTTGTGTGGCTAGGTTTCCTTATTGAAATATTTGCTGCAAATTGTCTGACTTTAAATATAACAATCTAATGAATCTGCCTTCTCTTTGTCTCTAAGAGGGCAACATCCAGCTGGTACTCTTGATTTAATAAAAATGTTGGCTGTTTTATTTATCATTAGGCATGTTTGTAGACTTGAAATAATTAATTACTTAAAGGCATTTGGCCAAAAACTGATTATTTAAATGCAAAGTTTAAATTAGTAGCAATGCAAAGCTTTCATTGCCGATGTCCTGTACTTTCAAGCTAGAGCTGTATATTTTACTGTATTGTATGCTGATTATTGAAATAAGATTATACGGGATATCATAAAACTTATGCCATACTATATCCCAGACCACTGTGAAAATATCAGTGACTTTAAAATATTTTTTGATCAGGGAGCTCTCATCAGCTTTCACAAGCCGAATTTTCTTCTAAAGTCATTGCTTAGTATTCAGTCTCTCCCTTGAAGGTGAAGAACAGTCCAAGTCTTAAAGATTTTGATATTCTGTAAAGCCAGTTGCTGGTCTCTAAATGTCATAGAAGTTGGTTGCGCTTGTTTGTTGGCCTTGGTAGACATAAAAAAATATATATATATATTTATTTATATTATATTTATGTTTTATTGTAAAGGTAAAAAAACCCTTGTCTTACAGAAGTGGCAAGAATTTAACATCTTGAGAGGGTAATTTTAATGTTGCTACTGCACTGCAGTGTGTAGAGGTAGGATTTTAATTTCTAGAACATCCTATTTCATACAAGTTCACTCCAAGAACAGCACTTTTTTCTCATATATCCATTCTAAAAAATCAAGAAGGGACTGGAGGCAAAGGGATGTTCCTTATCCCAAAGCCCATGGCTTTGATATGGTTCCATTGTTATATTGCACCAAGAGTCCTGCAGCAGGATTTCCCCAGTGCTTTCCCTGCCCTGCTCCACGTACTTACAGCAGTGAAAAGGGGAACTAGGCACAGTTGTTAGACAGTGTCGTATCTGGCACGGGACAAACTGCTTTATGTCTTGATGCCACAGTTCATCCTCTGTCAAAGTGTCTGCCATTCTGTTCTGTTTTATGGATACATTCATTAATGTTTTTGAATTTCGCAGAACTGGGGCAGACAGGGCAGTGCAAGTGACTTTCTGTTCTGTAGTGACTGACTAATTTCTGTAGCAGACATGCTGTGATTCAGAAGCGAAAGCAACTGAGTAACAAAATCCTTTAAATAATATTTATGATTTAATAATTTTGTGGCTAGTAGTTGGACTAATTCTGCTGTGCCTTCATGAAGATTTTTTTTACTCGGTTCATTTTTATAGGCTGGGAGAAATATTTCATTTTAGAAGTTTCAGTTGACAAAGACATGCTGGTGCTAGATACGTGTTTCAGATCCTTGTCATCGTACTCTATTTTTAAATTCAAGTGCCAGCCAACCTAAAGAGCACACCCTGTGTCTGTCTTGGGAGCTCTGCATTTGTGCTACAAAGCTGGATTCTTCCAAGCCTTAGCACGAGGTCACCAGATTTACTTTTACATTTTTCCTGTTTCATGATGAGAGTATTCTAGCAAGTTCTTTTCACAATCACAGAACTAAAACTGGTCATAAAAACAATCCTCCTTCCTCCAGAGGTCTGCTCAGGCATTGGCAGTTGTTAGATGCTTGCCTATCAACAGCCACTTGAGAAAGAATTTTAAATGGTTTTGTGACGTCAAGGAGGCCCAAGAAAATATAGGCTGGTGCCAAATTACCTCCATCCTTGCAAGCATGCGGTAAGAAATAGATAACACAGAAATAAATATTTTGTGCTGTACCTATCTCATTATATACTCTAGCGACTCCAGTAAGTGAGGTTGTCTGGTGTAGGAATAGCTAAAGAAGATGAACTTTCAGATCCTCATTTTCTAATTTACAGTTAATGAAAAAACAGCCTAATCTATCTGACATCCCGCTGTCTGGACGAAATGTCTGTGGGTAGCTTGGACCTTGCAGAGGGAAATGCCCTGACAAAGTTACAGCCTACAAAAGTGAACAATTTAAGTTTGATGGACAAAAAACTGAATCTCTTGAATGAAAAGATGGACAAACTGATGCATTTCCAAGAAGATCTGACAGGCAAACTGCAGCGAATTAACAGAAGCATTGATGATGTAGAAAAAGGCATTAGCAAGCTAGCAGTGTCCCGAGCACCTCCTGATGAGACAGATGCAGTGAAAAAAGGCCTAAAAGTATCGGACAGTATTTACCAGACTGACATCCAGAGCATATGCTCAGAAGTGTTGAAATTGGTGAAAGCTGCCCAGCTAGATGCCTCAAAGCATAAGGAGAGGCTGGCAAAAATAGAGAAAAGGGTTGATACACTGGATAAAGTTATTACATTTGTAGGAGAAGTATTAAAAAATTCTAAAGTAGTGGATTTTATTCTCAAAGGCACTGTGCCCTGGAAGAAGGGGAGTCTGCTGGAAATCCTTGTTGAGGTTGGTTTTGTTTTGCTGTTCTTCACATTTTTCTTTATGATGTAGCTGGGCTTTAGGCTCTTCTACTGGTTCCTTGCATAACATACAGTAGGTTTTCCTTTCAGTATCCTGTTACAGAGTACTGATGTGACCTGTGAATTGCAAGGCTTTTAAGGCAGAGACCAAGGCTCAAAACATGCTTTGATGTCTGAGGTTCCCGAAGTGCTCCAGGCAATCCTGTGACAAGTATGAGGAGTAGATTGCTACTGTAAAGGAAAATTCAGCTTCTACCAGTGACTGAAAATCATCAATGTCATTCAAATAAGTGACTGAATTGAAGCCTTAGTGAAAAGTATAGGTAACATACTGGAAGCATTTTTGTTGGAATAAGCTTCTATTTGCTTGATTGATCGTGAGTTCTGAACATAACACCAGTTACTAGACCTGTGCTGACTTATGAACTGATTTATGTGTCCTTAGACATCCAAGTTGTCTTTAGCTACATCTTCATGATGAAACTTTGACTTTACAAACTCTGTTGACATTGTTTGTTCCTCAAATCAGATAGTTCTTGTGTTTGCAAGTTCCTAGACATCAGTTCCTAAAAGTTTCTTAATTACTGAGGACAGTGAGGGAGGAACAGGCCAGATCGGTACATAGTTGATAGAGTGTTTTGGAATCGATTAACCTAGCTTTTAAAAGTTATAGACTTCTGGAGTTAGATTTAGCTAATGGGAGTTTCCAGTTTTCACTATGGCTTGCATCCTGCAGTAGGAAGAAAGTGAGAGGAAACTGCAAGAGTTGGAATAGGTTTGTTCATTCCAAGAATCTCCTTCTATGTAGAGGTGTGGTTAGAGTAAGTACTTGGCTCAAATGCAAATGTCCATTTGTATCTTAATCCAAGTATTTTTCACCAAAACTGTACAATGTTTTGGTGGAAGGTACACATAAACTTTTACAAGAATAGGGCAATGCTAGATGCTGGCAAATCTTTTCAGGCTTTGAGTACTTTCCTTGTCTCCCTTTTTAAGTGCCAGGGGCTGACAAGTGAGTTAGACTGTTACGAGACAAAAGAATTTATAGAGTTTCCATTATTGTTGAGAACTATAAATCATACACTAGGTATCTACCTTAATTCTGGATAGCAATGATAGCTTGTACTTGCAGTTTTATTTCAGTTTTACGGATTTTTGAAGAACTGAAAAATTTTGGTATGTTTTGATTAAAGCTGCATTGTTACAAGTCTCTGCCTGGAAACAGAATGAGCCCTTCACAGGGTTTACACCTTGAGCTGAGCTGTCAGTGCACATTGTGGCCAGGTGAAGAGGAGCATAAAGATGATGAAATAATTTTGTTTCTAGACTGCCAGTTTCTAAGTGAAAAGACCAGTAAGGAGGGATGTAAATAGAGGTGGTGTAAGGGATACTGGAGAAATGTTTCATGTGGACTTCTAGCATACTGTCAGAATTAGTTGTCAACCTAATACTGCCTCTTCATCTCTGTTTGCAAAAAAGGAGACTGAAGGAGGTCAGACCTTCATCCAGATTTTATGGATAGGCGGATAGAGAGCCAGAGGTGAAATGACCCTGCTGTTGGTGACCTAATAGACTAGGATGGGCTGGAGGTCTGTGTCCCAGGCTCTAACCACTGCCTCAGCTGTAGAACAGGCAATGTGTATTGGGCAAGTGGAGAGTTTTATGGTTAACTCATTTTGCAATATGAGTTATTGCTCATATTTCCCTTTTTCCTTTTTCTCCTTTTTTTGTTTCTGGTCATGAACAGTTTCTGAAATTGGAACATAAGGTCAGTTATAAGACCTTAAGATACATCAGGCTGCTGAGTGATATTTGAACTAGACTTGAATTAGTGACATAGCGTATGTACGTGACCGAGCTGGAGTAGTGTGGAGCAGAGCATGGGTGAATTTAAAAACAAATCAGCTTGCACTGAGGCATGTGCTAACTTTGGTCTAGTTTGCATAGCCTGTTCTGTGACAGCAACACGGACATGTCCAGAGCTCCACAGTTGCATGGGGGTTGCACATAAACAGAATCTGCTATGTGCTTGTTTGTGTGTTCCAACCTTGGTTGTTTTGTAGCAGTGTGCTGCTTATCACGGACTTGGTTTCATGCAGCATTACCCAGTATGGGGATGGGAATGGGGAAGTCATGTTTTCATTACTGGGTGAAGCTGTTTGTTGATGGTATGACAGCATTCCAGGGATGCCATGGGAATGTTTATGGAAGAAGTTTTGTGGGGTTGGAGTCAAATTGATAAAAGACTATGAATTGAGCTCACAGGATCCAAGCCTCTAACTTCTGACTTAAAAACCAAACAGACGGAAAAACCCACCAGCATTAGACATTCACCTATCCAAGGCTTTTTTTGCACGTAGGATTCTGCAAGAATAATGTTCCCCCTGGTTATTGTTGCAGGTTTGCTTAGAGCTGTAATAAAAATGGTAATGATTTTTTTACTGCTTTTTGGGTGTTCTATTTTCTGGGAAGGGGAAATTGGGGGCCTCTGTGGGATCTCTGTGGTTGAAGAATCAGATCCTAAAGCACTTCTGCTAACAAATGAAGGGGCTGCTTTGCAGCAATCTTGTTATCAGTTATCTGCAGAAAGATTTTAAATGTTGCTTATTTGCTTGTACAAATAAGGATAGGAGACCACTCATTACTGGAATTTTAACTATATACTATCCAAGAATGTTAAGCCTGTTTTCGTGTAATGTTTTTTTTTGCTAAATACTAGTTCTTTACTTTTAATTTTATTTCAAGTGTATTGCTGTGGTTTAGTGGGGCAATTACAAAATATCCCTCCTCTGTATTTTCTTAATTGGAGGAAAACATTTGCTTAAAAATCAAAATCTATTTCTAAAAGACAGTAAGTCTGTTTTTAACCATGCCAGAAGTGAAACATGTAATGTCAAGTACATGTACAAGAGTTGCCATAAAGCCAGAGTCTCTTTTTTGGAATCACCTCTATCACAGTTGAAACCATGAATCTTTAGATGCCTTGAGACAAATACATTAACAATATCTTCAGAGACATTTCTTATCTTTCAGTCATCAGTGAAAAAGCAACAGAAATGGAGTATTATTTCTTCATCTAATTTCTCTCATGTTTCACATATAATGGTTTTTAGTGAATATGAGTAAATATGACAAGAGGGAAAACCTGACAGCCAAACTTTTGGAAAGCAGTGAGCTAATGCATTATTCTATGTCATCTTGTTTTAGAAGTATGCCTGTATGCAAAAGTGGAGAGAGATTGGAAAAAGGGAGTAATAAACACAGTAGTAACTAAAAATTCAGAAAATCAGAGGTGTTGGTATGATTTTACACAGTCTGAATACCTATGTAGTTGGAGCAACCTAGTGGGGAGTAAACACTCTTGAGCATAACTGCTATTTTTGTGTTCCTCTGTCCTTTTAGGCCAAAGATAAGCCTGAGGAGAGTGGTGCAAAACCTAAGCATGTGCTTACTAACAGAGGAACCCAAACTGAAAGCAAGAAGCCTCTGGAAGGTATGTATTTCCCCAGGCATGCTCAAGTTTTGACTCTTGAATGTCTAGCAGACAACCTGGAAATTAATAGCCTGCTATTTCCCACTACCTGAATTACTCAAATGCAACTAACTTTGTCAACCAGTACTGGGTAAACAGAATTGTTCTCATCTCCTCAAAGATGATTGTCCTCTGGATCAAATGCCACAAAATGCTGGAAAATCAAGACATTAAAAGCAGCACCTTTGGGTGTATAGTTGGTTGGGGTTTTTTTGCTTTCAATTACAGTGAGCCAAACTGAGAGCAGTAGCCATTCAGATACCACAAAGGTAGTGGCAGTATCATATAGCAAACCTAATAAATTATTTTCCCTTAACAAGTCTGAACCAGCCCTCCCTCCTCCTCTCCCAATGTCGACATTGGGAATATCTCTTCTTGATCAGCAAGTTTTATTGCTGTGTCAGGGCTAGATTCCTATGTAGGAAGCATCTGTCACTGCACTACCTTCTTATATTTTTGTGGAAAACCCAAGAGGCACTGCCTCAAGACATCCCTTGGAGCCTTGCTCACTCCATCTCTGCCCTCTAAGCACATAGAGAGTGAGAAGGGTGAGAAGGGTCCTGGATGGGTCTGCAATGCCAGACCTACCCATTGTATTTGCCTGCAGAGTGATTTCAGATTGTAGGTGCAGTGATCTTGAACCCTGCAGTATTTTTGCTTGCTTTATGGACATCCAGGTTCAATCTGTAACACTACTGGAAAGCCAGCAGAGCAATTAAACCTCTGATTAAGCCATGAGCATTAATAATGGCTGTCTCAAGCTTGTTGATGTAAGGATTTTAAACCTTTTGGGGGGTTTCTTGCTACCTTTTCAGATGTGTAACTGCGGAGGTTATTTTGAGTAGTGTTACTTTATTCCCTGTCTGTTTTGCTGTCACTTTAGTCAAGTATAGTTTATTAATGGCTTATTTTATTCAGAGACAAAAAGTAGGAAAAAACTGGATGAAAACAAGGGAGCACGTGAGAAGGTGAATGTTTCTAGTGCTGTAACCCACAAAACTGACTCCAAACTCCAAGTTAAGGAGAGAACAGCACAGCAGCAAGTAGTAGAAGGTGCTGGCAAAACACACAGCTCTAAGAGCTGTCAACAGCAAAAGGACCTTGGTGTCAAAGATTTGAATCAACACAACAGTCTTCCCTTCGTAAATCAAGATCATGTGGGCAACCAAAATGTTCCTGCTAAAGCACACGATATGGACCTAGATGAGTGCCACAGGCAGCTTGTTCATCAGAAACTCGGAGAGGATGAAAACAAACCTTCATTGTCGAGTGTGGCATCCCGGGAATCTGCGCCCTCCACATCCCAGGCTGTATCTATCACAGGGCGTGAAGTGACACATACCAGGTAATGGCCTTGTTGGTAGCTTTCTGTGTGATCTGAAACCATTTCATGTGCTAGAAGGAAAAAAAAAGAAACCAGATCACTAAAGGAGGTGGCTCCTGCTAAGGCATGATCCAGGGGAAAAACAGCCATGCTAGGATAAAAGTGGTGAGACCTTACAAAAGGTTAAGGCAAAAAATCAAAGCGGTGTAAATTCCTGTGAAGCCAACGAGTGCTTAGATGTACAGGAGACTTTTTTATATGATGGGTGTTCCTATGTATTAGAGATAAAGGTGATCACTTTAGTACAGCTCAAGTATTTGGACATTTATAAACCACTCACTCCTTTCCTTTTTCTATAACCATGGGGTGAAAGGAATTTGAGGTATTTACTAGTATATGCCAAAAGTAAACAACTTGTTTTGTTTGCTGTCCTCATTGTTTTTATGGGATTTATATGCCTTGGTCACTTAAAGGTATGACCTTTAATGATTTTTCGTTTATTAACAATCTGTATTAGCCCAGTCTTTTCCTCATAAAGGTGTTTAGTAATATGCCTTTCATAGTCCATTTTATTTTGAACTATTTATTGAGGATTTGATTTTAATTCCATGTATTTAAATTAAAAAACAAAAACAAAACAAACAAACAAAAAAACAACAACAAAAAAACCCCTCCAAACCAAACTAACCAACCAAAAAACCAACCCACACTCACACAAAAAAGCACCACACCAAAAATGCACAACCGAAAACACTACCAACAAAACCCCAACAGATGGAAATTCTGTGGCAAATTTTAACTGCTGTGCCTTCTCTGTCTGGGCTTGTGGATATAGAGCTGTTAGTAGATGTGAATGTAGGGGTGGGGTGATAGACACACTCACACACACAGAGAAATGTATGTATGCCGCTTTGAGTGTGGAATTTCCCCATTGTTCATGTATGCAAACTGGTTTCTGAAGCCCAGATAAGAACATGGCACTACTTTTGTCACACTGGGATATTTTTCTCCTAAGAGGTAGAGTGTCAGGATGTGGCAGTAGAGCATAGAATCTTTCACTCTTGTGGCTTCTGTGCAAACATTCAGGAACAACTTTGTGTGTGTTTTATAGGGAACATTATCTCCAAACTGGTTGTTGTAATGGCACTAAACCCATAGGGACTCCCTTGTGGTTTCCCTGTGGGATATAGACTCTGGCTGATAGTCATAGGTGCTCTGCTGTGGGTCCATCCCAGCTGCCCACCGAGCGCTGCTTTGGAGGCTCTGCCTATTCTGTGCACTGAGGATGGCACAAGGTGTTTGTGAAGCAGTGGGGGAACAGTTGCTGTTACCTGTGGAAGTCAGTACTTGTTGATCGTGATGGTGAACTTGCGGAGAGGCAGCAGGTTCTGAAGCAGCTGGTTGGACAGGACAGGGTGTTACTGAGCCCCATACAAATACATTGGTCTGGTGAGGGAAGCTGCAGCCTTCCCGCTCAGGAAACCTCTTAGGTGTTTGTGTGTGGAGTCACATGAGGGTGGTGAATGCCTCTCTAAATTGAATGCACTTTCAATGAGGACTGTAAGCCCATGCAGAAGTGTCAGAACGACATTATGTTTCCCTGCTTGAAGAAGTCCTGCCAAGTTCAGACTTGACCACATAGCAGTGGTAGTGTTTTGCTTGGAGCTGCTCTGATGGCTCATTTGGGTGCAGCTTAGATTCATAGCACAACACAGTGGTGTTAAAGGTGCTGAAAACGGGATGCTTCAGAATCTTGTTATGTGAAAGTGGTAGCATTTTCTAACATCGTTTGTAACAACATTGCTCCACCAAAAGAGGCAGTAACTGTTGTGAAAATGAGATACGTTCTTTCCTAGACATCAGAAATTTTTTTACTTGCTTTTGTACAAAATCTACTTTACAACTTCACAATTTTCAATTCAGCCTTACTGAAATCAGACTGTGTTCATGACAGTTGGAGCAGTAACAGTAGACTCAAAAATTGTGGCATGAATGTCACATAGCATAGACAATTGGTTTTAACACATACTCTTCTTAGCTAACAGAAGAGGAAAAAATATTAAACTTTTGCAGTAGCTAGAATGGCAAGAAAATAGTATTGATGGAATAAGAGTTTATGGAAGTTACATTTTTAACAGAAGGCAATGAAAAAAATGCTGTCCCATCAGAAGACACAAACACAGATGTCTGAGTGTGCAGGACAGCCAGATGGAAGAGGACTGGAATGAATGCAAACCTCTGGATTTGTAGAGCCATATGAGCAGTCAGCCATTTAGATGATCAGCCTGTAATTTGTGAAGGCAATCACTATCCCCTCTCAGCCCAGATGAGTGGCATTTTATTAGACCAACTGTAATAGTCACATAAAGTGGGTAAGCTTTCAAATGTGGAATTAACATTTTACAGTG